GCCAGGCTAACCAACCCTAAACGGGAATAAATAATACATACTCTGCTGCTACCATAACACAGAAGGCGAAAATAAAAAAACATTTATTTCCTAACTATCCTCGGCCACTAAGATACTGCGGACTGCATATCGATGATTTGACGTATATATTTAACGTTCTTATAAAGAAACAAGAATACTGTAATAGTGGTGGTATGCGGTCAACTATTAACAGACTCCGAGTGGTTTTGAGGTGGAGAAATGAAACTACTATTTATGTAAAGCCGAATTGAGTACGAATGTGGAATATGGAATGGAATGTATTTGCGTCAACCTTGCCTATATTTATATGGCCGGCTACATTGTTGGTTTACCAATGGTAACAATTTTTATTTTCCCTAGCCAATTATAATTCTTACATTATGACCAATGAAGATTAATCAAAATACACAACTATTATGTACGTTTCGTTTGCCGGCGTGAGACTCGTGTTATCTTCACGTAGCTACGTCGCTGGACCGGGCTATAAAAGTCATGCAAGTCGGCGCGCGTGCGTTGCCAACTCTATGGGCACCCGGCAGCCAACTGCTCAGCTCCACCCAGGTGCGTTAAGTGCCTAGAACCCCATCACTCTAAAGAGTGCCCTCGGCCCAAAAACGCCGAATCCCCACCCTCATGTGTCCTTTGCGGACAAACAGGCCATCCGGCCAATTTTAGAGGCTGCCCTCGCACTCCTCGCCCACCTCCGAGCCGCAAAGCTCCACTCCAGGTCAATGACCGAACCTTCCCGGCTCTTGTAAGCCGCAAGCCCCGCCAGGGCCAGCCCCTACCTCAGCCCCCTCAAGGCTTATCTCAGCCCACACAGGGCATCTATCGGCCCCCACAGGGCCTCTATCGGCCACCTCAGGGCCCTCCTCGGCCCCTTATGAGCCTTCCGCTCTCCCAGCCTGCGCCGCTTCCAATAAACCCCTGGTTCCCAAAGGAATCAAATATCCCGCGGCCCTCCGCCGACCCACAAAAACAGGCAGACTCTGTAGTAGAAGATCTAAACCTAGTGTATAACACTATGAATAAGATCAATATAGAGGAAATCCTTATCCTTGCGCGTAAACTGCGCACCGCTCAGTCCCCTCAGGACCGCCTCCTTGCTCTTAATGAGCACATCAACCTACTAAGGTCTTTGTAATTACACTATGCCGGAGCCCTCTGCTCCCGCAATATCGCACGGTCGTATGAAACCAAAGAGTTTGTCGCTTGTTTCATTCAATATCCGCGGTTTGCGAAATAACCTCCCAGAGCTTAGGCTATTTCTTCGAGATCGCGAAGCCGACCTCCTCCTCCTTCAGGAGACCCACCTCAGCCCCAAGGTCTCTAAAGGCCTTTCTATCAAAAATTATTCACTTCTGCGTAATGACAGACCCGACCGCAAAGGCGGCGGTACTGCCATTTATTACAAAAAGTCCCTTCATTGCTCCCACATATCTACTCCGACGCTTACTAGTATGGAAGCCACTATCACTAGATTAGCCATGACTGAACACCAGTCAATCATTATAGCCTCTTGCTATATCTCTAGCGGAACCCTCCCCGTTAAGAGTGATTTCGAAGCCATCCTTGCATTAGGCGACTCAGTCATTATGTTTGGAGACTTTAACTCCAAGCATACTGGATGGACCTGCCGCACTACTACCAGTAGTGGCAGGGTGCTGCTCAATATCACTCAGTCTCTCGACCTGACTGTCTACAGCCCCCCTCGCTGTCACCCACTATCCCGACATTGTTAACTACGCTCCTGACGTGCTAGACTTTGCTCTAGTTAAAGGAGTCTCCCTTAACCTTAGAGCAATCGAGCCTCTCGATGATCTAGGATCCGACCACCGTCCTGTATCCCTCCTTCTTGGCCATCAGCCATCTCCAACACCCACATTCAAAACCTACACCAACTGGAAGGGCTTCAAGAAGTCTGTAGCCTCGGCTACAGACTCTCCGGACCCTCCCATAACCCTTTCTTCCGACGCCCTCGACAGTACGGGGAAAATAGACACCTCTGTCGAAAATCTCACCTAACTTATAACATCCTCTCTTAAAGAGAATGAAAAAGTTGTCCCGGTTGCTAAAACTAGTCTTCCCCTAGATATTAGCAACCTGCTAAAAGCCAAAAAAGCTGCCCTCCGTAGAGCTGCACGCTATCCCACTCCCGAATATAGACTCGCGGCCCACCGCCTTCAACGCAAACTCCGTTACCGCCTCCAAGATTACAGAGACCACGAAAGGGGCAATCTCATGGAGAAAATCTCTCTCTCCCACACAGCGTACTACCAGATGGCGAGAACCCTCCGGATAGAGGCTATAACGCATACTCCCCCTCTGTCTCGTCCCGACGGCTCCATTGCCTTCGAGGACGAAGAAAAGGCTGAGTGCTTCGCTGACAGCGTCGCCGCTCAATGCTCTCCTAGCTCACAACCCACTGACCCCATACACATCCAACTAGTGGAGGACGAGGTCCGTCGCAGGAACTCGCCCCCTACCGCCTCTGACCCTATCACTGTATCCAAAGATGAGATTTCATCTACCATCAAAGGACTTAAGCCCAAAAAAGCACCGGGTGCGGATGGCATCTCCAACCAAGCCCTCAAACACTTCCCGGAGCAGGTAATCGCCTTATTGGCCATAATCTTTAACGCCTGCTTCGAATTCAGTTACTTTCCCACCTCTTGGAAAGAGGCAACAGTCATTGACATTCCCAAGCCAGGCAAACCTCACCACCTCCCCTCCAATCACCGTCCCATCAGCCTCCTCAAAGCCATGTGCAAACTTTTCGAACGAGTTATTCTCGTGCGCATGAGGCGCCATTTGTTTCCCACAGACGGCGACCCTCTTGTCATCCCACAACAATTCGGGTTTCGAGCCAAACACTCGTGCCCCCAGCAAGTTCACTGCATAGTGGAATACATAAATAGTTTTTATCCTCGTCGTTCGTTCTTTGACATTGCCAAGGCATTCGACAGAGTCTGACACGAGGGCCTTATCTACAAACTGTACGACTTAGGCCTCCCGGACCGTCTCGTTCGCCTTGTAGCCTCCTATCTGAAGGATCGTACCTTTCGCTTTAGACACGAAGGCACGCTATCCTCTACTCGTCACATAAAAGCCGGTGTCCCTCAAGGCTCTGTGCTTGCCCCCCTCCTATATATACTATTCACCAACGGCATCCCTATCCCGTCGAATAGTGTTAAACTAGCCCTCTTTGCAGATGACACAGCCCTTTACTCTAAAGGCAACTCACTACCACAGATTCGGAACAAGATCCAAAAGTCAGTAAGCGACTTAGGAGCTCGGTTCCAAAAATGGCGTATCGACGTAAACCCGGAGAAAAGCTCCGCTGTTTGCTTCGAATATAAACGACGTCGTCTCACCACCACTCCGCCAATCAGGATGTTAGGAACCCCTGTCCCATGGCAAACTAAAGCCAAATACTTAGGCGTCACCCTTGATGCAAGGCTCACTTTCGAGCCCCATATCAAGAAGGTTACTCGCACCGCACGATTTTACATGGGTAGCCTACCCAACAGCATGTTGGGCAGACACAGTAAAATGTCCCTCCGCAACAAGCGAACCCTATATAAGGTCTGCATACGACCTGTCATGACCTACGCGGCCCCCATTTTCGCACATGCTAAGCCCAAAGCTATAAATGAACTTCAAATAGTCCAAAATCTATTCTGTCGTAGGGCCACTAACTCGCCCTATTATGTCCGTAATGCCGACCTACATCGAGACTTAGAGCTCCCAACAATCCAGCAGTTCCTTAAATCACTCTCTGAGAGATTTTTCAAAGCCTCGGAGTCCCACCCAAATCATCTCATTCGTGAGACAGCTGCCTATGCAGCCCCTATCCACACTCGCTATAGTGTGCGCAGACCGAGAAACTCTCTCTCGGACCCCCCCCCCCAACAAGCTTTCGGCTGACCTGAACTGCCTCCTGGCGGCTCAGGCCGAGCCTACATAACACATCCCTTAATCTGCTTTAGTTAGGCGCTCTTCTAATCGGCTTTTCGCCGCTTGCGCCCTCCTTTCTGCCAAGGAGGGTCGCGTTCGTATACGGCTTAGAGATCTCTAGTTAGATCGTTAAGCCAGTTCCTAAAAGGTTGGGTTTAGTGGATAAAAGTCACCACATAACCACGCAGCCGGCTGCGTGGTATGCTATGAGCATTCCCAACCTCCCTCCCCCGCTTTCCGGAGGGTTGCCCATATTTGCTTCGGGCGCAAAAAAAAAACGCGCGTGCGTAGTCGGCGACTCAGCAAGCGGCCGCGGTGTGGGACACAGCTCCGGGACAGCAAGAAGAAGCGAGCTGCGGCGTTGAAGAAACGGCTCACAATTGGTCGACGGATACGTGACGATAGCGGCGTGTGAAGACGATGTGGCGCTGAATGATATTTGCGGCTGCTTCTTGTTTCTTTATAAGAACGTTAAATATATACGTCAAATCATCGATATGCAGTCAGTAGTATCTTAGTGGCCGAGGATAGTTAGGAAATAAATGTTTTTTATTTTCGCCTTCTGTGTTATGGTAGCAGCAGAGTATATATATATATACGAACCTCAAGCTCGTAACAATAAAAATCGCCGATAAAATTACCTAAATTAACACTTTAATTTCCTTTACACAAATTAAAACTTAAAACACTAATAATTAAGCACACTGGTTCACTTTATTTCGCTCCGAAGCTTCGCTTGTCTCGCCAAATCCAATACTTCCCCGATCGCACCTTGCAACGCCTATAAATACACATTAGTACCGAATCGTCCAGAACATTCAAGTAAATACGCGCACCGATCGACAAAGCGTCGAAAATTCGAGAGTCAGCTTCCAGAAGCTTAGTTCTTCTGTTCGATACTAGATGGCGCTAGTGCCGTCGACTTCGGCGCGTAACATTATTTATTCCCGTTTAGGGTTGGTTAGCCTGGCTGCTACACAAATATTTGTGTAAATAGCAATATTAAACTAAGGCCTCATTACCTTAAAGTGAGAAAATAAATTATTTCAGCTACACTGAGTATTGAAAATCCCATGAATAAACCCAGAAGACCTCCACAGTTTGCCAGGAAGTCCGTTTGACCATAAAGCTCCGATCTTCTAGACGTAATGAATTGGGCTTCTTTGAAGAAAATCATAACGCGTGCGAATTTCTGACTGAAAATATTTTAATACTTGGATTAAAATAGGACAAAGCGATAAAAAGTGGCTCCTGAAATTACTTATAGAGTTAAGATACGTACTCTAATATGTCGTCACTAATTGTTAAGTTGAAAGCAGTGTACAAGGCTTTCCAATCAAAATCGGCTTGCGAGGTTTCTGCTTCGTATTCGATAGACGTACAGGCTGGCAAACATTTGCACTTAGCTGCAACAGCACGTGATTCTCCCAAAGTATCATTTTCGTTCAACTTTTTATCCAAATTGGATAGTATTTCAATCGTCACCAGTTCCACTGTAAAGGAATTTGCGTGAAAAAATGTATTTAGGTATTACAAGTGTTTGCAGTCTCGCGTTCATTGAGCTTTACAAGTAAAAAGTGACGTTACCTTCGTCACTTTTTACTTGTCTACGTTCTACGTAATTGCGACAATTGATAAGTTCGAAAGACGCTCTTGACCTTGTGTATTTTCTCAACAAAGTTTAAAGATTTTACCTTTTCTTCGCCGATTAGCACTTAACACACTTCCATTCATCACAAGGAACACTGTTATCCTCCATTTTCACTACAAAGCTTTGAAAAAGCATAAATTAAAGAAGGCCTGTGGTTAGCTTTAGAACGTAGATACGTAGTACTATTATTTATTATGTGACGTAGATACGATATATACGATATATATAGAAATATATTATAGAGAGTAATAAAGCGGAGTAGCGGAGGGCCTGCCAAATTATTACAGTTCGTATTGATTTTCCTCCAATGGCAATTATTAGTTACATTCATTTATTTATCTTAATAAAGTAGGAAGGTTAAATAGCATGCAGTTAGTAAATGATTTGCTACTTTTCTATTGTCTAGCTAACATCAGTGTGCTTTGCGTGAAAGTACACAGAAGGCGCTTCTACGATATTTTAATTATGGCGGCACGGCCGCTGTCAGCGTGTTTTCTATTGTTCAATCACAATTAGCTTGCTACATATTTATTTATCTATGATTACAACTATTAATGTCCATATTATGAAAGTTTTGGCCGTTTTTCCTTTCTATTCCCACAAAACATCTAAGAAAATACCTACGAGTATATCTATTCACAAAAATATTATTGCTTATTTCTGCAAAGGTATCTTATTTCAGTAGGTACGAATTCAACACTAAATGTGATGTGTAAGGCAAATAAATCATTAGTCTATTGTTGTATTATGGTAAAACCAAATAAAAAAAATAAAGGAAAGGAATTATTTAAATACTTTGTTATCTATCACAAGTCATTTCTGCGGATCTTGTTGCATTCAAGTATTCTTTTTTTCTTTTTGTAGAATAGGGGTGACAAACAAGCACACAGTTCACGTGATGGTAAGTGGATGCTGTGCCCATAAACATCTACATTTATCCTAGATTAAGAAACAAAATGCAGTTGAGTTGTCACCCCTGAGGACTAAGATGGGATGACTCGTTTCCAGTAAAAAGTGTCTCCGATTCTCTACACTCACCATACGAAACACGGTAACATAAGCTGCTATTTTACGCTGGTATTCTGTAAGAACGTGGTCCTACCAGTCGAGCCAACCCATTCGTGCTAAAACCATAATTTAGCTGCCGCGTGGTTCTGCCACAGAGTAAAGAGACTCATGTGGTTCTACCACGTAAAAGTGCTCCTTCTGCTGCTTGAACAATTTTAGTAGTTGTAGTTTTTTTTTATGCGCGTCTAGTAAAAGGAATCTATAGGGTTTGATCCATCCATCGACTTCGGTTTGGAAAAAGAAAAGGAGATGATTGAACCAAGGCGCGCAATCCACCTTTCGGAATACTGTGTTTAAATAATCCATTACAGGATGAACATAATTAACAGGAAAAAAAAGAGATGGTTACCATCTCTTGACAATTTCTCCACAACTTTTAACAATTATCAAACTGTTTTAGAGAAAATTTCACGCAGCTTAAAAGGACTTACTATTAGCGCATTTTTTCCGGTGGTTTTCAACGTGCCACCCATGTGAGTTGTTTCCAGTTTAAATAACTGTCTTTTTTAAACCTCGTTTAGTCAGTTTATAAAACTCTGTTTAGAAATTGTAGATCTTCACATTTTCTCGCCAACTTCGTTAAGCGACAATCGATTCCGGGAGAGAAGTCACGAGATAGTAAACTTTACTTGGACACCATGATACGGGTGATATTTGTATCTTTTTAAATGCGATGAGCAATACCTTTCGGTATTCCAGACATGTGTAGGTACATTGATGTACAGGCGGTCATCTGGGTGACGCTCCACATATGGGTACCTATCACGATACAATCTGAATGCGGCAGAGGCATTCACCGTAGATAAGAGACATATTCGCATATTTATCTGCTGTGAAACATACCTACGACATGTCCCGGGACGTGTTGGTATTGCTAAATACTACCTAACTAACACAGTTTGCACAACACAAATCCAGTCCAGGGAAACAAAGTCAAAGTCGTCAGCACAAATGTAGTATCAAGTCCAGAACACAGACTAGTAAGAGAATATCCAGAGTAAAACAATTTAAAGTCGTCAGAACGATAGTTATAAGATTAAGATTTGTGCCAGTAAAGAAATTGAAACGTAGCGTACCTACCTGAACATTAATAACCAATAATAAATATTGAGCATTGGCATCACTACGAGTATCTGTCTCAAATCAAATCAAATCAAATTCATTTATTTGCATAATACAGGTATAAGAGTTGTTACAAAAAAAATTAGAATATGTACACTGTATTATTACCTTATGAGGTGTGCAAATACTTTACAATATAGTCTACGCATTACTAATTTAATAATGGTGCTTTGAAATAAAATTAAGAATAAGAAAAAAAAATATTGTCAATAGTTGAGTCTATAGTGCTAATTGTCATATTAAATACCTTGATGTTATATAAACTCGAAATTAAATATTTTTGATAATACGAACAATCAAATCCAAAATGTTGTCATACAAAATTTAAGTTAAATTATAATTTAATATACTAATCTTATTAAATTGTTACAATGTGTCACATATATTAGGTAAATGTATAAATTACTATTATTCAGTTATGATTAAATTCAAAATTATTATTAAGTTACAATTAAATTAAAACTATTGCTATTAAATTATAATACTTTTATCCTCTAGGTACTCTTTGACATTATAATAACATTTATTAATCAGAAATTTGTGTAATATCGTCTTAAATCGTGAGATAGGCAATTTTCTGACATCATCTGGCAGTTTGTTGTGAATCAGTGATGCCATACAAAGAATACTTTTATTGAGTAGTGCTGTATCTGTCTCGTTACTTTAAAAGTCGAATGTCAATTTGCTCTAATTCACGCTAGCTTGCTACGTATTTATTTATCTATGATTCACGCCGAACAGCATCATGGGCATCACCGTCTACCTCACATTATTGTCTAATTTATGGTAAAACTGATTTTTAAACACATAAAAGTATTCATAGACATGATTTTTTTTAAATTATTTAAAAAAATAAGCAATATATTTTTATGGAAAAAAAAGTAAGGCTTAGTCAAGGTAAAGGCGCTGAATACATAATAAGTAAGTTAAGGTAAGTTGTTGTACTACTTTGATATAAAAATGGGTAATTTGAAATAGCTTACCAACTCTCACAGAATACCAGTGTAAAATAGCAGCTTAATACTGCTGTGTCTCGTATGGTGAGTGTAGAGATCCGGAGATCCTTTTTTACTTGAAACGAGGCATTCCATCTTAGTTCTTAGGAGTGAAAATGCATCAGTTTTTTTAAATAATGATAGAGGATAAAGGTCTATATGCCACTTACCATCAGGTGGACTGTGTGCTAGATTGTCACCCATATTCTATAAAAAAAACCAAGGACCCTGGGAAGTTACTTTAAAAAAAAGATATGTAGGTATAGTCACAGATTGTAATTAAAGTGTCAATGCAATATTATATTCAATTCATTTCAATATCCAATTGATCAAGGAAGTAGCAATTAGCTGACATAATTGTTTTAACACATGACTCAATCAATCTTAATTATTTTTTCATAGCTAACAATGTTCATTGTTTGATTTGTGACTACGATTAATATCATGGCTATTTAGGATTACGTTATGAAAAAAAAAAAACACTGCGAAACTGGGAAATTGGTGGTTACAGACCTGAGTCGATTTTAAACATTTTCAAAAATATTGCTATTACCTTAACCGAGTGATATGGATTATTTTTCTTTTTAGCTAAAACTAAGCAATTGGCCTCTAGCCCGGTACCTTGGCGTTGAGTTTTGGTAAAGATATAATATTTTACATATATTTCATTTATCAAAAGAGTAATTATCATAGATGCTATTACATGGTAATTTTTGTGTTGCTCTTATAACTGGCATCATCTTCATCATCAAGGCCAGAGTTTTTTAATCTAAATGTGCGCTTTACCATTCTCGGGTACGCTACATCACCACTTATCATCAGGTCGGATAGTAGTCAAGTACTGGCTTGTAACGGGTACAAAAATCAGTCCGTAACAGTTCATTGCCGGATATGGGCATCGCCCGTTGTATGGAGCTTGGCAGCCAGATTGGCGACCGCAGTATTTAAAACGACTCACGCTTTTTATGCTGCTCCGTAAAGCCACACGACGTGTATTTTACGTCTGGCTTACGTAGTAACATTATTTAATCTGTGGTCTGGCGGACATGAGATCTGACGTAATTTATATTAATTTCATATTCATAATTCGTAATTAAACAAAAATAAATATAAACAGAATATTTATCTAAGTACTTATAAACGATTCACTTACTTTGAGCCTGTTTAATGCAAGCGACGCTACCCGCATTGCAAACCGTCATATTAGGGCCATCTAAAATAAAGTCACAAAATAGGTTACATTGTAATAGTTGCACAATGCATAGTGTCGCATGGTTGAAGTCAACTCACGTGGCATGCCGAAATGAACGCACCCACATCGGACGTATGTGAAATTGGTCAAGCATTCTATTTCACAATTGGCTTGGGTGTAAACCTTATAGTAACTGAGGTAACGTTCGCTTGGAAAGTAACATTGGCGTCTACAAATAAAAAGTAAATTTAATTAACATTTTATAACATATCGCATAAATATTAGTAACAATGAATTAGCTCCGCGTTCTAGAATTAGTAACAATTTTTTCTTCTTCATTAGCGTTATAGCCACTGCTGTACATAGGGCTCCCCCATAGATTTCCTCATATGGAGGATATTAGACATTTTTTTTTCATTTTAGTCGTTATTATGAAAACGCTCCTGCCCATCACCAGTTTCAATTTCCTTCTGTCGCCTTTTACAACACCCACGGGTATGAGGTAGTGGCTATTCTCACACCGCCACTACACGGTTTTTCTTCTTCATCAGCCCCTAGTGTCCACAGTTGAACATGGGTCTCTATTAGTATGGGTCTCTATTAGTATTGTAGAGAGGATGTGGTTTAATGGAGAGGATGGACGATCGCAATATTAGACGTTGCACGTTGCACGTCTGTGACAGTGCTTCACGTCGCCGGTCTGAGTATTTTACATTTTGAGAACTGACAAGTGCGAGTGGTAAGTGCGGCCGACAAGTGGCTTTAGTACTTAGTGTGTGTGCACAAGCAGTGACAAGCAGTAAGTGTGAATAAAATATACACCAAGCACTTGCCATTTGCACTTGTCACTTCTCAAAATGTAAACTGGGCAGAAAATTTCTAGCATATACCTTTAGTTGCCTCTTACGACATCCACAGGCCGGAATTTAGTAACGGATTCTCTTATCCTGCTTACTTCTCATAACCTAACTCGGCCGAAGTCGTCGCATAAGCATTACCTATGCCTCAGAGTGAAGCGGTCACAAACTTGTGGCACTATACTATTTTTGTTTCCAGCTGTGAAATCTGCTGACGCTACTCGGAAGTCGCAACAATAGTCGAAATCGCTCACAATGGCCTCATTAATAATAATTCTAGAGTTATTAAATTTTTAGAAATTAATAGTAATTGAGTTTCGACTGATTACAGATTAATTGCAGTTCTTTTATGATTCAACATAATATGAAGATTTCAACGACAAATCATTCACATCGATCAACCGGAATATAACTTTTATAAGCATCGAGCATCAAACAGGATATGACAAATTTCATTCGGTTGTTAGTTTATAAATCCTGCCAAATTAGATCACGCTGATATCGTTTACAATCGGAAGTTGTCAATATATATTATAGTACCGTAATATACAAGTAAACGCACTTAGGTACCTGCCATATTCAATGTTTTTTTTTTCTTTTAAACAAGACTGGCGGGTAGCCGGTTCGATCTAAATGATTTGCTTCATCTTTGCGTAGCAAAGGACTGGTTAGCTGGAATAGTTTGACAACGTCTGACTTTTCATCTGATTACAATTTGAGTGTCTTTGAGGCAAGAGTTTTTAGTTAGGTACACAAGAGGGCTATTTTTTACATTATGACAGTGCGATTTAACATTCAGGGCTTTATATTTTTTACCACCAGGTTGAATGGGAAGCTTATAATTAATAGTTAAAAACACAAAGTTGAGATGCTGGATCAGAAACATGGTAACAATGAGAAGTTATGCTGACTGAAAAACAATGTATGCCGACTTGCCTTGTTGAGGTAAAAAAGTTTCATTACCTGGGAATTGTAATAAAATGTACATCAATGTTATTAATATGCGTGAAGTGGCCATATCAGAAATATTCAAACCTAAAACTAGACCGGTGACGGGAATATATAGAAGAAAACAGCCACATAACCTTGAGAAAACATCTGATTCTGCGAATGACAATGAGTTTTTATTACTTTGCAAATTCAAAAACAACTTTCCCACGAAGGTCTTATTAAGACCGCCAGCAAAATCCTACTTTTTAAAAAACTTAATAAATTTTTGTACCGATAAGATGTTTAAATTACAAAATATTATTTAGAATAAATATTTTGTTAGACTATCTACCAAAAATATTTTCAACTTAGCTAGCTTGTTTAAGTACCAACTTTTTAGTTGGACAAAACGAAACACGAAAAGGTTCTGAACTTTTCTTAAGGGGATAGAGTAAGTCAGCTCAAATTCTAATTTCGTCCCCACTTGCCCGCGCGTCGTATGCTATGTACCGACATGTTTGTAATCACTAATACTGTAAGTAGAAAGGTCGTTAGACACTTATTTCATTAGGTTTATCATATTTATACCTGTTTCTTAACGCCTAGCCAGTCGCTTCTTATTTTTATTACGGTTATTTCCCATTTTAATTTTACGTCGTCCTGCTGGGTAATGTATATTCTGATCGTAAGCGACACAACCTCCCCCTTCGAAGGCCGAAGCAAAGTGACCGGGCAGCAGGAATCACGCTTCAAGAGGCCGATAGTTTAGGTAATTTCTTTTTACAGTGAAAATAATAGTATTTTAAAAAAAAGTAAATAACATAAGCACTGCTTTATAGTTAGTTCAGTTAGTATGCAAAGTTTCATAATCTTATTTAAAGTATTTTATGAATAACAGCGGTTTATTTTTTATTTTGGAAGTAACTTTGGATTTTTTTTCTACTGAGAAAATTTTACGAAATCGTGTTTTCGTCTAACATAATCCTTAACATTAATCCTCAACTTTACCATATATTTATTTCAAAATTAATGCTTCAATATTTTCGGGATAACGAAGGATCTTGCTAAGCCATTTATTATATTTCCCCTTAAATAGTGGGTATACACTACACATTTAATATCTTCTTATTTATCAGCCCGTAAGATCCAATGTTGCTTCTCCTAACGAGGGAAGGATTCGCCTAATCCCCGCGCATGGCAGACAGGTTGGCATTTCAATGATTGCTAAGAATAATTATTTAAAAATACTTACACAGTCGGATTGTAAGGCTTCAGCCCATCGGAAGTTGTCATCATCTTTGGTCTGACGGCTACGACGACTTCCTGAGATAACGGAGATCTGAAGTACTGTTGCGACAAACGCGGCAACTCCGCAGGGTTATGCAACAAAATCTAAAAAGTACATTCTACAGTTTAGCTCTAGTTGCTTTAGGTATATTTATTATTATATTAAAAATCTGATAGGTACCTTAAATCCCTGCACAGGTCCCTTGCAAAGGTAATCTAGATCAATCTCCTTAGTTTGTAATAAAATCGTTAAGCCCGCTTTCGCGCCATATCCCTAGAAGGAATCGACAGATAAACATTTGAGGAAAAATAAAACTTTTCCTACATTGTTGATACAATTAGGTATCACTCATAGATATAAAAGTGTGCTAGCGAGTTATTAGGATCAATTTCATTGAGTACCTGTGCAAGATAAATTAAATATAATATACTATTGTTTGTTGTCATACCTAAACCATAAAGAAATTCATTTTACTTTGAAACTGAGAATATTTAGGAATTGGTTAAATATATTATTAGATATTCTCAATTATTATTAATTTAAGGTTAAAGATAAATTATTAGTCATCGGATTTTAATTTTTAAATCTTGAATGACTCTTGTTTAAATTGGGATATAGATTCTCTTAAATTGTCATAACACTGCCAAAACATATTGAAACTGCTAAGCTTAGTCTCTAGAATCTACATCACTGACTGACGTTATCAATTTTCAGTGCACCTTAGTTAGTTAAATTTACAGCCTATATAAGTCGCACTGCTAGGCATAAGCTTCCTTTTATTTCTGAGAGGGTTTTAGGGCAAGGAAATGACACACATTGCCCCATTGCATGTTGACGAACTTCACATGTCTTCGAAAATATTTTTTTCTTATTTCTCAGACATGCAGGTTTCCTCATGATGTTTTTCTTCACAGCAGAGCACGTGGTAAATCAGCACTTAAAATTGCAATTCACAATTTCATTGGTGCCGCCGGGGATTGAACCCGGGTTGCTCGCGTACTGTGAAATTTAAAGCAAACACTTAGCCCCTGAGCTACCACGGCTCTCAGTGCACTTTGACGGAAGTTTAAAATGAACATAAAATATGTGTAAAAATGTATTCAAAACTTCTTAACCTTGATAGCTTTTATTTTATGTACCCCAAATGCCACTATCAAGTACTTAAATGAAATTTCGTGAACAAATTATTCCATGTAATAGAAGCATAAGTATTATCTGATTCTAAGTCACAACAAAACTGTTGTTTCCAACCGAGAGAAAGAATGGCAAAAGACAGTTGTAAATTAATATTATGTATGTAAATAAATAAATAAATGCTAAATAGCTCTAAAAGATGTAGTATCATGTAAGTCAGAAATAGAAATATGACTGTTTTACTTATAGTTAGAGCATTTGAGTTACTTACCGAACCTCTGTGCGGGTAGGTTTCTAACGGTGTTGATGGAGGATATCCCTCTTCTAAAGTCCAACGTTGAGAAGAATTAATACTTTCCAGATATTTATAATCTTTATGTAGACTAAAAGAACAAAAATATAATTTTTATTTTCACACAATATACCACAGTCAATCAATTAAACTTTGGATCAGTTAATAAAGGAGCAAACAAGGAATATAAAAGGTAAAAATACTTCTCCATTCTAAAGAGTTGTTCAGCACCCATAGTGTTAAAAGTATAGCAGATACCGTCCTCAGTCAAAATTGGTGAAAAAAGGTCCGAACAACTGGCTTTAGGGATATCTTTCCATTTGCATCCAAAAAAGAATTCAGAAATATTCGGTGACACCTTTGAAATTTAAACATGTCATCATTATTAAGTGATACACAATATAGTATAACATTAATATTGCTTGAATAATAATATCTACCTGTTTCAAATTTTCAACCGTAGCATTGCCTGAAGAGAATTTTCTACCTCTGGCGGGAGCTAAATGATCATCACAGACCAAAGTAACGTCTTCAAACATGAAGCGTCTGCATAAAAACGTATACATAACAAAATATTGGGTAAAAATTTTCAATCTTTTGGCAAGAGGGAGGGATTGTATCCTACACCCAGACACCACTCCCATGGAAATGTTGAAAAAAATTATAAGGAAAATATACATAACCTGAATATAGCCCATAGACATAACCTGAAAGTGATAACATTAATCTCTCTCCAGCAGGAAGGCGGAGCGGGGGTGTCCCCGCGATCACCTATCGCAACTGTAAGGATTTCTGGGTGTTTAAGTATTAATAGACGGTAAAAAGTAACCACGAAGGGTTTCAGGGTGTAACGTATATAGGAATCATTTCTTCATTGTTTATAAACGTATTGAGAGTATTAGACCACAGAAGAATAAAAATGCCATAGAATTATAATAATGTGACCCCAGTCTTTGATATGGTCTTACGTCCTTGTTGCACATACACAAAATTATGTATGCTATCCATATTTCACAGTAGGCATTAGTTATTCCATATTAAACCCATTTTTAGATTACCATTACCTTTCTATCATTAACTTTTAATGCGAGTGGTATTGTTATAATTGGATACCAAACCTCTACCAAATACAACAATTTTCTTCTCCAAATTCCTGCCAAACGATTCTAAATCCAACCCTACCATCTTTGGTAACGTTTTTAACTGAAAAAAAAACATGATGACAAACTTTTCTCAGGAACTAATAGATACCATCTACCATTTTATTTTATGTAGGTGATAAAGTATATTAATTATAAAGGCAATTTATAAGAATAATATTATTTGTTCCTTTGGCTTTCTGTTAAGCGAACCTCTAATTTACAAAACAATAAATCGACAGTGATAAGTTGAAGAAATATTACTCACTCTTCTTCCGTCAGTTTCATGTATGTAGCATTATTATTATACAAGTGAAAATATTTTGTAAAGTTAAATCTTGTTTGCAAAGCCTTCGTTTCAAAACAGATAGTAACAGCAGGATATGGAATCTGTGATAAAGTATATGAAATCAATTAACGTATCCGTTATATAGAATTGAATTCATTTTACTTTTTGATTGCCTAGTAGGAAGTAATAATTGTAATGAGCCCGACATTCCAAAGTTAAAATTTTGACATACGAGTATAGGCACAAGTTTTTAAATTAACTGGCAAAAATGGCATACTAAATGAATTTTGCGAGTTATAATCTTCAGGTTCTAAAAATGACCAGAGTAATTTTTAATATGTAAAATTTAACTGACAAGTGTACTCCTATTTTATATTCTAGGTTTCTGTTATTTGTTACTTCCTACCAGGGTGTTTGTAGTGTGGACCTCACACACACCATTTTTATATCATTACCTGCCAAACTGGCGTGGAATTTTCCGCAAAACTAACAATTACTGGACTTTCGTTCCATTTAATCCACACTTTTCTTATAAGACCGGCACATAGTATTACACAACATGTGAACATGAAAAACCAAAAAAACCTGCAAATAAAAAGATTGGTTATAAAAAAGTTTAAAGTTGCCGACGGTATTTTATATCACAAACAAAATCGAATTGTAACTTAAGCGATATAATAATTATAAATCATTATTACATTTGATGTAGGGTTCCGATTAGACAAGGAAGACTGTTTAAGTGCAATCGTTAAAACGTGGTTTATTTTAATTTTGGTGTTGAGGAATTTAATGTCAATATTTTATTAAATCCGTCCATACGAGCAAATTCATACTGTGCAGGTCGGGTACATTTTTGTCGGGTACATTTATTAAAATGTAAAAAAATAATCACTTTTTAATAGCGTAATGGAGGATCACGAACATATAATATAGTTTCAAACTTTCAGACTTTTACTTACTTTTCAACAGGAGTTCGTTCTTTTTCACCGATGTACTTAAGTCCATGAAGATTTGAATTAGCGGTATAATCTATTAAGTATTCTTTAATTGTGTAACCTTTTCCTTTTTTTACGTCTATTTTATGTTCAACCGATTCATCGCTTTTTTCTAAGTCGGTTTCCGGAACTCTTCCAACACTTGTAGATCTAAAAGGGAAAGTTTTGAGGTTTACTTATTTTATATAATCAGATATCGTTATAGTATTTCAGAAATTTTAATTAAAACCTTGTATGACGCCTCATGGTGAACACGACGAACTGAAATAATACGTGAAATATTTTGTTTGCTTTTTATTTGGGCTTGGTTCAAGAGTACTCGATAAAACCATTAGGAATATCCCTCAGGAAATGTCTGCCAATTATGAAATTAAAATAGATACCTAGAAATATAAACATAAAAAAAGCATTTATGTTTTTATATTCAGGGGTGCCTAAGTATTTAAAATCATGCTGTATACGACTTCGATTTTTTTTCCTGTATTTTATTGCATTTATAGCAATAAATTGATGTACGAGTAATTGTATATAACGGATTATACAACATTATGTATCCTTTCATCAATATACTCATGGACTAATTTAGAGGAACTCAAAAAAATAGGCTTAATTTCTCCTGTTGTAATAATTATCGCACGTACTGGCATAAAACTTTAATAAATACTATAACAGAAGTAAGTTTTCGAATTTCATTCGTTTTTATGTAATTATCGCATAACATTGCCTTCCTTCATACTACGAAACATTTATCCACTTTTTGAATTTGAAATTAAGTTGGATTTTGTTTAAATTTTTGCCATGACTGCCTTCCCAAGTAACACATCAAAGTAGTATAACGGCCGACTTACAGCATTTCTGTTAGAACAGTTCTGTAGTAGCATTACAAACGTTATACGGCTACTGTAATGCTTATTTGGGCACAAATTATACGGCTTTAGATCCTAAATAGGTTCGCAATATTTGTTTAATTGCTTTACAGGTGTTTTATTACATAAGCATTATTTTGGCCAAAGAAGATATCAATTGCATTAAAAAAGTATTATTATTAAAAAAGTTACCAATCGCATTAAAGAAGCATGAAGCATTACTGTTAATGAAGTTGCCAATCGCATTACAGACGCATTATATAAGCAATATTATAGATAATGAAGATGTTAATTGCAATAGGTACAAAAGCATTAGTCAAGCACTAGAATGTAGTAAAAGAATGATTGGGGCTATTTTAGTGTTCACAGTTAGAACTACATCATTGCAAAACATCTCTATTACGCGGTACTAAATGGTATGATACAATTGACGCTGTGTTTAACTACATAATTTGTCTCGCAATATAATATATGGATTGAGTGACACGACCATATTTGTCTGCATGAAAACAAAATTTATAAAGTTTTTGAATCTATTGTTATTTCATAGCTTCAAATATTACTGCGCAATGTGGTTTACTGTAAATGTCTATAAATAAGTTTTATTTAAAAACTTTCTCGCGCCTTTGATATTTTGTGGCTTTTGGAACGAATTTCGCATAACTATAATTAACACAATAGTAGTGGTTGGGCAGTGTTAAATTAAGTTATGTCATTATTATATGGTTCTATTGCCTTTATAAATAGGTCCGAATGATAATTTTTTTTTGTTATAAAATATTTACAAAATGGTGTCGTTCTATAGCATCCCGGTGAGTCTTTCAAAATACTTATTAATGCCACCAGCAGCATAAATACTTACATGTGAATAATTATTAAGCCAGAGAGAAGACTTTTAATGCACCACTGTAGTGCCATTGTCTATAAAGTAGTCCTATATGGGCCCATCGGTAGGTATACTAGTAGAATTGATGTAAACTGAAATAGTGCCATTATTCGAACGCTACGTTAAAGAATTATATGATCAACAAAACACCTGCATATGTTGCTTTCCATATAATATAGCCGACAAATAGTTTTACAAATACAGTACAATGAATGTATATACAGCTTTACGCATTTCAATAATTCACGTGTATTTGTTTAAAGAGCTGTTAGCTGTACAAAAGAACTTAGTTGATCTTTAAACATGCAAGCATTACATTGACTCGCGTTTATGCTCTAATTGTTCATATTTATCCTACTTAAAATGTGTTTTGCTGTACGAAAACTAAAGGCTTTACAAAAACATTTTGATATGTCACTATCCAACCGTTATACGGTGTAAGTTTAAGTTTTTAACAATGGTAAAGCCACGTGGCAGCTTTGCTGTTGCACGTATGGGCCGGCTCAAACCGGGGTGGTACTACGACCTCACAGAATACCGGCGTGAAGTGGAAGCTCAGCTTCCGCGTTTCGTCTGTTGAGTACAGGTGGCCGGAGGCCCAATTCCTCTCCCCCTCAATATGGTAGCGGAAATAAGGGAAGATCTATCCCGGGAGGGTACCAGCACCCCTGGAGAATCTCTCGCTGAGCATCCACGACCACGTTACTCCACTCCTGAGCGTGGGTCCTCAGGCTGCCCCGCGTATTCTGAGAGGGAGCGGAAAAATTCCGCTCAAGACAACGACTGTTCGGGGCAAGCGGAACAACAAGACCGAGGCAACCTCTACCACGCTATCCGTGAATTTCTGCAATATAAGGGGACTTCATTCTAACCTAAACGCCGTCCACTACCATCTCGAGACGGCGAGGCCGGCTCTGCTCTTTCTGACCGAGACGCAGGTGTCTTCTCCGGCTGATGCTTCGTATCTCTCATACCCGGGGCACAAACTGGAACACTCTTTTGTGCCTCGGGCTGAAGTTTGCGTATACGTTAGAGAGGAAATCTGTTCTCGACGCCTCGGTAGTCTTGAAGGTTCGGACCTGTCCATCCTTTTGGCTGCGCGTAGACATCGACGACCATCCGCGCGTCTACGGGTGCCTCTATAGGTCCCATAGCGGTAATGCCGAAACAGATCGACTCTTCGATCACGTCCAAATGGCTACAGATTCGTTAGTACAGCAGATCACCTCCGCAGAGATCGTGATCCTCGGCGTTTTTAACGCCCACCACGCCGAATGGCTTGGTTCACGTTTAACCGATCATGCGGGGAGATCTGTTCATGATTTTGCCTTGGCATATGGTCTGTGCATATGCATCTGACACAACTGGTTACTTCGCCTACGCGGATTCCAGATGTGGAGGATCATACACCTTCCCTGTTGGACCTTCTGCTGACCTCTCATACAGATGGATATCAGATTTCCGTCGACGCCCCTTTAGACTCTTCGGACCATTGTCTTGTCCGGAGTGTGGTGCCACTCACGCTGAAATCGCAGTTGCATTCTGCAGACTGCCGCCGTGTTTGGCACTATAGGTCAGCCGATTGAGATAGGATGCGGTCATTCTTTACATCCTACCCTTGGGGGCGGGTTTGCTTCTCGCCGGATAATCCTTGGAACTATGGAACTTTTTATTCCTTTCTCTGTGGTGCCCATCGGAGGCAAATCTTAGCCATGGTCTTTTCATTTGGTCGCTCCTGTAAAATAAAATAGCATCATGCTATAAGCAGGAGTGCTCCCAAGCCTGGGCTGACGCATCAACGTACCGGGATGTAAACACCAGCGCTCTAAAAAAAATGTCCGTTTGATATTTACTTGGAGATTGCAGACGTAACCATATGTGTGTGAACTATATCAATGATATTACAGTTGTACGTGGTCGGCGGTAGTCACTCGCGATCAGGTGAGCCGCATGCTCGTTTATCCTTCTTATATAAAAAAAAATCGTATAAAAACCTTTTTTTGTGATCAGTTCATGTTGTAGCACTATTTTATTAATTGCAATTTTTACATTTCAGTAGAAGCGCTCTCCTTGCTGGGTTATTTCTATTTAGAATAATAAATAATATTAATATATTTCTGGTCAGGTTTTATATGGTACGACAGTAATTCAAAGATTTTATATTTAACTCACATCTGAGTCAAAAAAGTGCATTGCAATGTTAACAGGTCACGGACGGTTGATATACTTACATATTATCAGCGTTATTCTTTTCATTTAAAAACAGCGATAAATTAATGGCTTACATATGACTAGTGGAATAATATAAAATGGACAACCCTGCATAGGACTTTTAATGTGCAATGGCAGTTGAAAAGGTATAATTTGATTAGTAAAAAGAGTTTATTAATTAAATTTTATTTACTGGTATGGCTGGACGTAACCACTGCAATATCTATCGCGTTGTATTTTTATAGTTGCCTCAGTCTAACTTATTATTATACTTTCTTATTACTATTTGACTTTATATATTTATGTAACTTTCCTTTCTCACTCAGAAAAATCCGAATGATTAGAGATCCCGACCACATACCAAAAAACTAAAAAAAAAAACGTGCAGTCGAATTGAGAAGCTTTTTTTAAATCGACTTAAAATGGTAAGTTCGAACCCATAATTATTAATTGAAGCTTTTTCTCTAGAAAAGATTCAAGTAAGATTAAGAGGGTTACAGGTTGTGGCGGTCGTCTGAGTCGCAATAGCTCGGTTGTAGCACCTTGGCAGAGATTATCCAAGTATTTTGCCTTTTCTTTCTCTTCAACAAACAAAAATATCAATCTTAAATCAACTTCCCAGAAAAACTAAAAAACATTTTCGATTTGCATTTATTGCATATTTCAAGATGTCGAAAGATGTGAGCCTTGGTAGCTCAATGGGTAAACGATCGCCGTTAATTTTACAGTTCGCTAGCAACCCAGGTTTGAACCGCGCCGGCAACAATGAAATTATTATTTGCAATTTTAAGTGCTGATTGTAGAGCGCTGAAGTGAAGAAAAACATCGTATGCAAACCTGCACATCCAAGAAATTAAAAATATATAAATTTTAGACCTTTTAAGTCCACCAACAATTTTGGGATTGTTCCATAACCTTCTTAGAAATGAAAGGAGGCTTCCTTATATATCGCATATTATAACTTTAATTTTTTTTATATCTAAAGAATACACTCTTCAGTTGTAATCTTCAGTCAAAACATTTAGAAGTTATGACTACACGATATATTAAGACAGGATCATCATCATTATCATCATTACAGCCTTTCACAAGTCCACTGCTGAACATAGGCCTCCCCCAAGTCTTGCCACAAAGCACGGTCCTAAGCCACCTGCATCCATCGACTTACTGCATGTCTTACCAGGTCGTCGCTCCATCTAGTGGGGGGTCGCCCTACACTTCGCCTACCGGTACGAGGCCACTCGAGAACCTTTTTTCCCCATCGGTTATCGGTTCTTCGAGCT